AAATAAATTACAAAAAATTATTAATGTTGTTGTACATATAATTGATTTTCAATTGTAGATATTTGTTGTTTATAACAATTAAGTAAACGAATAACTACTTGACCAAAAGATTTACAGTGTAATCTTTCTTGGATATCTTTTAAACGGTTATAATCTTTTTGAGAAATACGAATTTTAGGGAACTTTTTTTCAGCTTCAACACTGTATTTAAGAGAATGTTGTTTTGGTTTCTTTTCTTCACTTGAAAGAATTGACCCATTAATTTTAAATGAATTCATATCAACATCAGTAAATGGATTAGTCATTTTATATGTAAGATATGATTTTAAGTTAATTGAGATGACCCTTTAAATATGGACCTTTATTAAACATTAAAGTGGCTTTCATTCAGTTTCATGGGGAAAAGTAGTGAAATTCCCCTTTTCTTTCACTTTTTTTGGCTTCGAGTGAACCTATATTCAACTCTTTTTTTAATCAAACCATAAAATTTAAATTTCTCGCTTCATTTTTCCATGTCATTTTGTTTTATAAAACCACCACATCATCATTTTTTATTCCTTTTTTTATTTACTTGGTATTATTCTTTATTTCACCATTTTTCATAGTGATTTATGGGGAAATCTCGGTCCTAAATTTTGACATTTAAAGTAGAGTTGGTTAGTTATAAATACCTTTCTTTTAACTTTGTTCTTTATTTATCAAATCAACTTAAATTGACTCAAAATAAAAAAAATGACAAGTTATTTGATTTGTATTTTTAATTTAGATACATTTTAATCAATTTCTTACGATCATTTTCAGACATCTCAATATTCTTCTTTATCTTCTCCATTTCTGCCTTTTTCTTTTTGTGAATTCTGATAACAACTAAAGTTATAATTACAACTACAACTATTACAACCATCGAAATTACTAATGAGACAGAAATCATTATATAAAATAATACGTTCTTTTCACATTTATATACCTCATAGTTTGGTGTCCCAAAAACTGAGCAATTAACAACTGTTGAAAGAACACACAGTTGATGGTTACTACATAATTTTATTTCACTATTAGAACATACATACTTTTGTGGACAATTATAACAATGCCCTTGTTCGTAATACGTCCCGTCAGGGCAATAAAAACATTGTGAACTCCCTTCACTAAAAGTGATTTTCATATCAGGACATACTGTACAATTATCTTGTTGCCCCTCTCTATCTGAATATGTCCCTATCGGACAATATTCACATTTCTTTGTCTCTCTGTTAAAAAACGACCCAAGTTCACACTTTTTACATTTATGAGAAGAAATTACTCTTGCACCTGGCTCACACTCAACACAATGTTCTCCATCAAAATAATGTAGTGGATTGTTGCATTTTTGACATGAACTACTTTTTTCTTCCATTGTAAATAATCCATCATCACATGGTCTACACTTATCTCCACGAGAAGACGTCATATTAGGACATACCGTACATCTGCCTTCAATAATGCCATACCCACTATCACATGGATACACTCTCTCAGATTTTGTTCCAAGAATAATAACAAAAAAGATAATTAATCTTTTCATCAGTTAAATATGATTTTTTTCTTTTGTACCAATAGTTTTTCATTAAATATAAATAATATTATAATAATAATTTATAGTTTGATATTTGTATGAA